GCAGATGCCAATGAATAGAAGGGTGTAAAAAAACCATAATGCCTAGGAACGGCTTTTTTCAAGGGAACGGAGACTATGAAATTGATATACTCATCATGGGTGAAGGGTTGTAGGTCACAGTGGTCTTCGAATGTCATGCAAACGTGAGAGTGTCAGCAAACCCTATTAGGCTGCGTTCATACTTTCCGTCAGCGCGCACCACCGTACGGCAGCGACAAGGAAAGTATGGATATCGATTTAGCAGACGCCAGCGTTTTCGCGGACAGTTTGAGCTTGAGCAAAACTCCCCACGAAAACGCTTCTATACGCTGGTTACGTCAGATTGTTATCTATTCTTTCATAGTCGCTGGCGTACCCCAAAAACGCTGCCGTGCGCTGACGCGAAGTATGAACGCAGCCTTATAGGGATTATTACAGATCATTCGAGGAGAGGCATTGCGTGTAAAACAGCATTCCTTACCACTTGACTCCACACAGCACTGGAATATCTGCGGTATGGCAGCCTATGTCCTACCGCTGATTCAAGACCGACGAATCGCATTTTCTGTCTCAAGTTTTGAGAATCATTGTCAAACCACGCCCACTATCCCACGGCTTCAATTAGAAAATCAAGCGTAGTGTGCCTAGAAGGGTCATTCTGCTATGTCACGTCAGTGCTATAGCAGCCTGCAATTTCCGAGAGAAGATTATTCAGGCGTGAGTGAAGTGGTCATTTGTGAAAAAAAATCGTAAGTCCGAAGTGACTAGCACACAAGGGAGCTCCCTCCTCCTCTAAGGCAGCGTTCAGACTTCGCGACGGCAGCGCTTCGGTCGCGCATTCGACGCGATCGAAAGCTGCGCATCGATCGCGCCGAACGCTCGACCGAGGCGCTGCCGTCGCGAAGTCTAAACGCTGCCTAACTCACAAGCTATTATTATACAGCCCATTAGGCACGGAAACAACATCAATGGCCCCACCCGAGGCGCTCAGAATCATTTACTGATCCTCGAACCAGAAGAGGAGAAAGACGTCTAGATTTTTTGAGTTCATTAAATAATTAGGTTTCACGGGTCAACAGATGTTCTTTCGCTGCGAGGGTCCAGGATTAGTTCCTCATCGCATCTTCTCGCAGAGCATTTAAATCAACGAACATAAGGAAGAAGAGAAAATGAAGCAAACGGGCCCACCAAGTAGGCGTTGCCTTGGACAGATATCATAAGACCATGACTGGTACGGGAGTGTGGGGGTTATATGACACACTTGATTTGAAGTTGAAAAGATGTCTAGCTAATTAGCATGGAATGCAAGAAGACTCGCGCGATGCCGCGCTTCTGGTTTCTGAAATACGAGTGTATGACCTTACTTCCGAGTCCCGGCATCGCATGCTTTCCTAGCTAGTTGATGCGAGAGGCAAAGACACCGAGGGAGTGGATTAGGTCCTGAAGCGAATGCTGCGCGTAGCCTCCCGATTCCAAGACCTTTCACCGCGCTCGCCACGACTCCGATGTAAGCGTGTGTTCATACTTCGCGACCCAAACGCTTGTATCACGCGATCGGAACGCTTGAGCTATTGGATCGCAGGGCCACGAGGGGAGCGCTCCACCGCAAACGGCTGTACTGCCGCAAAGGCAGAATTCAACTGGGGCCACGTTCACACAGAGCATAGCGGTCCACTAACTGGCGATGACTCGATAGAATCGCGAAGTATAATGCGCTTAAACGCTATGTGCCTCTGAACTACATTCATTCTTGAGCACAGCAGACAAGAATGTTTACAAAAAACAAAATTCGTGAGCGATTCTTCATGATCCTCAAACGATGCAATCCGGATAGTTTCGGAGGAACTTATGGTTAGAGGAAGCTGTACAAGAGTACTGATAAAATTATAGATCAAAGTCATCTGTTTATGTTGATGTACGATATATGGTTTGAGCTGGTTGGTCGCTACAACACTTAAATTTCAAAAAGAATCGAAACACTGAGTATGAAAGTCGAGTTTGAAAAGAAAAACGCTACGAACAGGAGCAAGGACGAGGAACACCTAGACAAACAGCGATACGCTGTGTCTTAATTAATCGGCGGACGTAACAAGTGCTTCTCCCAGTTTCATTCGATTTTGGCTACAAAAACGTGCACATTTCTCGAATATCACTGACATTATGGGAATGCGCGCTATCCAAGGTCGTTTTGCGCCTTGGAAAGAATTCACGTAGCTGCGGACTAATTCACGTAGCTGCGGACTATCTCGTAATCACGATGCAAGATCAATATCACATTAACTGACGTTATCGCACAAAATCCCAAAGAAGCCTTTGAGGACAATATTAGCGACTTGAAAGTGAGGACTTCAAGCCACGGAAATCAATAAGAGGATTTACTTCATAAATGAATAACGACGAAAGGCTGACCTAGTTTATGACTTCGTGATAAAAAGAAGGATTGCACGCCGATTCCTGACAGCCGTTTCAGAGCACTAACGCTTTTGAGAAAATAGTTTCTGGAATCTTTCAAGATAACGAAAATATGTTTTGCTCTAACGCTCTTGCCAAAACCAAGAAATAAAACTTTTAAAAAGGCGTTTCCAAGCTCCCAAACATTACTGAAGGCACTTAAAGACACATCCGGGTTCGAAAATGGCGATTTGTGCAGCTCAAAGGGGAGTGACAATATGGAGAACAGTACAAGAGAGAAGAAAAAACAGATAAAACGCCCGTAGTGTCCCACATACATAGAACCCTGTGCTGAACCCGCTTGTACGTGCACGAGGCGAAGAAGGGGAGTGGTTGGACGAGTCAGCTTGTCGATCCCATTTCTTTCTAGCTAGTAGCGGAACAGCCACACCATCAGGTAGCAGTTAAAGTGGAAGTGGGCGTCGCCGTGGAAAATGGGCGGGGCGTGGTTCCCACGCGAGCGGACACGTGATTTGATCGCCCTCATCGCGCGATCACAGCGATCAAAATGCAAAGTATGTACCAAAACCTGGGGAATTGCGCCCCACCCAAGTCAACCGACCCAGGTACTGGTCAATATCAAACCCTATCCGCGTATTATCGCCTTCAACCATCCCGCGCGACGTGGCCACTCAAAATGAAACAGATATCATCTCTATTCGTATCATATCGCTCGTGTGCCCCCCCCCCCTTCTGGGAGAAACAGGGGCATGTTGCGAATCAGGTCACAGGGTATAGCATCGTTGTGTGAAACACATAGAGAGAGGGGTCGTACTCTTCAGCTGGGGAAGTGGGGGTCGTATTTGGTCGTTGGGAGAGGTGTCATATGTGCCTTCAAGAGAAACTTTGCTGCGTTGGAAGAAAATTTTCTTGGTTGTTGATTTTTCGCGTGATTTTCCTGTTATTATGTGTACTATATACCCCCTGCCCTCCCCCCCGCCTGCTCGACAAAATTTTCAGGTGAAAAAGTGGAAAATGTGGGAAACTGGTAGGAGGTGTTGGGGAAGGGGGGATGTCGTACCGAGACCCTCATTCAGGTGGGGAGGGGTCGTACCGAGACCCTCGTTTAGGTGGGGGTCGTCTACAGCACCATTTCACACATCACGATGCTGTACCCTGTCAGGTGATGTCTTTGAAAATAATATCCAGAGAGTTTTTCAGAGAGTGCGGCTTAGATTGGCCACCTGAGCAAACACTGGCCAGTAATGAAGTAAGTGGTAAAAACATCATTTTCAAAAAATAGGCCATCCATAAGAAAAAACCATAATCATTCGTACAATACATTCAAATGGATTGTTCAGCTGGCAGCCAACCTAGCGCTTGAATAAAAGGTTTCGATTAAGCTACAGCTACACAAAATCCTTGTGACAGTACACTAGATGTAGCAAATTAAATTATACGAAATGCTATCTCCAGCTTATCAAGACATTAGCGAAATTAA